CTTGAATAGCCCCTGTTGTGTAAATGAAAGACGATCTGGATGACAACTGACTTTTGATTAATATTTTCTAAGAATACCCACAACATCTTCCCCTTAACCAACTTAGAGATATACCTTATGTAACACTCCTTAAAAGCTAACCCAGCACCAACATGTTAAAAGTTGCTATAAATAAATTTTAATTAAGTACATATAACTTCCTCCTTCCATAAGGAGAGAAAGGAAATTAGTACATAAAAAGTAGAACACAAAACAGAGATGATACCTACTGATAACGCAAACTAATCACTATTTTCTAAACGTAATCATGGGAGAGTGAGATTCCACAACTGTATCATCTAGCGAGCCTGCTGAAGGTAGTGATCATCATCAAGTGATGCGTAATTTTCATCATAATCGACATAATGTGCTTCAGTGTTTTGTTTAAAGCTTTGCGATTGTGAGTTTTCATGTTCACATTTTATTAATTGCCTTCTATTACGACGATAAATGCTCCGTTTATTCCTAATAATATATGATCTAGGAGCAGTGCTTTCTGATAGAATTTGTCCTTTTACTCTGCTATTTCTATCAATAACACTATCTCCCTTGATTCTTTACAATGATGATCAGCAGTGCAGCTTCGTTCTTTGTTGCCTATTAATCAGCTCTTGATGTTGATCGGCCGACACTGGTGTTAGTCGCAGCAAGCCAGGATGCATCGGCAACCGCAGCGCAACATACGGCCCATCAGCATTTGTGCCGGAGAACTCAAGTTCTCACGAGGTGTATTGCGATAACTTAATAAATTTAAATAAAGATCAGAATTACTTTTTATTGATTTCTTTAAAATATTCTTAATAGTTTGAACTGCACGCTCACTTTTGCCGTTTGCTTATGCATAATTTGGCAAAGACGTAAGAAGCAAACTTTTTTAAATCCCTACTAGTAAATTGAGTATCATTGTCGCTAATTATTTTTTCTGGTATCCCATATCTAGCAAAATTCTCCTTTAAGGACTGTATAACAGTTGAACTTGTAATGTTATTTAATTTTGAAATCTCAACAAAACCTGAATAATAATCTACGATAATAAAGTAGTATTTCTTTGAATATTCAAAAATATCAGTGCCAAGTTGGCTACATGGCAAATTTGGTATAGGGATTGGCATTAATGGTTCCCTACTGGGAGCACTTGAGTACTCCTGGCAAGCTGAGCAACGTTTTACATATAATTCAATCTCCTTATTAATACCCGGCCAAAATAGCACCTATCGAGCGCGCTTCTTCCACCGGTCTATGCCGAGTTGACCATCATGAATGATGCCAAGCATATCCTGTCGCATGGAATATGGTATTAATACTAAACTGTTTTTGAATATTACACCATCTACAGCAAATAATTCATCTTTCATTGACCAATAACTTCTTAATTCTCCTGGAACTTCATATTTGTTTGTGGGCTACCCCTCCTGGTTCAAATAATCTAACAAATTCACTAGTACTTTATCGTTTCGTGTTTCCACTTTAACAATATTTAATTTATTCTTTGACATGTTAATATTATCAAGTAAAAGATTTATTTGATAAGCAAACCCTTTACTTATTGTTTCTTTCTCATCGTATTTATCCGATAGAGGCGCACGCGACAAAGTGTCTGCTAAGTACATTAATTTACCTGGCTTATATGTAACTGACAAATCGAGACTCTGCAAGCCCAGAAACATCCGTTGTAAACGAACTGGGACTGCAAAGGCTTTTTAAATAAGCTTTCTAAGCGTTTATGATCTGTTTCGACCACCACGTCACTTTTGCCATAAATGTACTGCCGAAACCTATCACAAGCAAACACTATTGCGAGCATTTCCTTTTCCACCCGAGCGTACCTGAGTGCCGGTGAGCGTGAGCGAGGCGTACTCCACGGGGCGGCCGGCCTACAGCAGCACCGCTCTGAGAACGACGCTGCTCGCGTCCACCGGCAACACGACCGGCTGCCGAACGTCGTACAGAGCCAGCACCGGGGCCGTACTCAGAAGTTTTTTTTTAAATTATCTATCGCTTCCTGGTGGACTGAATCCCAGACCCAACAAGAACTTTTCTTTAAAAATTTGTCAATGGATTAGTATGCTCGGAATAGTTCGGTATGTATTTAGAACGATAATTAGTTGCTCCTAGAAACCATTCTACACTCTTTTTAACACACGGAGGCGGCATATCAATGATCGCTTTCACTTTTGAGCAATCTGGTTTCATGCCATTTCTATTAAGAACATGTCCTAAATAAGTAACTTCCTCAACACATATTTTGCATTTTTGTTTATTGAACTTTAAATTATCACTTCTAGCTCTTTCCAACAGGGCACTCAGCCGTTTGTCGTGTTCCTGTTTAGTTCGTCTCCAGCAAATAATATCATCTATAAAGGATTCTACCCCCTCCACATTTTCTAGTAATTGTTTAACTCTGGCATGAAAACTTCGGACGCACAATTCAAACCGAATGGCAGTCTCGTAAATTGGTAACGCCCAAATAGGGTGCCGAAAGTACACAAGTCGGCACTCGCGTCATTCAGCTTCACCGCCTAAAATCCTGAATTGGCATTTAATACCGAAAAATAACACGCGCCGTGTAATTTAGAGGTCAATTCTGTGAGCGTTGGAAGCTGGAAATGCGCGCGTCGAATAGCACAATTTAACGGACGGGGATCAAGACAGATTCGTAAATTATCATTCTTCTTAGCAACTATTACCATCGCGTTAATCCAAGGCGTGGGGTGAGTGACCTTTCTTAGCACGCCCAACTCCGTCATTCTATTTAACTCGGTGTGCAACTTTTTACGCAGAGCGATCGCCACCGTACGCGGGGCACTGACCACCGGCGGTACACTAGGATCAACAACAATATTGTATTCGCCCGGTAAACACCCTAAACCTTCAAAAATGTCTTGGTAGTCATTTAAATTTACACTGTGTACCCGACGTATTAATCCTATTTCAGAACATGCTTGTCTGCCCAGTACACTTTCACAAACCATATCTGCAATTCCAAATTTCAAACAATACTGACGGTTTTTGTGCCACCAATTTAAATCGCATGTACCTACCTTTTATTGGTATGACGTCACCGTTATAAGACTGTGGTTTAATATTATGCTTCTGTTGTATATACTCTTCATTGAACCCTAATTTTTTAAGCCTCGGATATGACAGGACATTAATATAGGCTCCCGTATCTAATTTGAAGGTTTCGGGGTCTCCACTACAGATTATAGTCTCATACCACTTATTGGCAGACTGTTTTACAAATGAAATATTTTCTACGACAGAAACATAAAATAACTCACAGTCATCCTCGGAATTGTCCGTGTTTTCGCCCTGAACACCGATGTCGTACACCTTTTTTTATACTGTGGAGTGCGTTACACATTCTTGCATAATGCCCATAGTTTTGACACACATAACACTTGACACTTATAGCAGGACACATACCTGATAAGCACTGCATACCACAACCGTGACACTGCGCCCGCGAAAGGCGAGAGCGGTTGGCGACGGGCGGCGCCAGCGGCGGGAGCAGTGCCGGGCCCCGGGCCAGGCCGCGGCCGTGCGCACGCCCGGGCCAGGCCGCGGCCGTGCGCACGCCCGCGCCATCCGCCCTGCTGGCCGGGCTGCCCTTGTGCACAGCATCCACCTGCGCGGTCGTCGACCCGCGCGCCTCCAGGCATCGACTGCCATCCGATGACACCTCGTCCGCCTCACATATCTTGATAGCCTTATCCAGACTTAAATCATCTATACGCAGCAATCAATCGCGTACCACTCCACTTCTTATGCCACAAACTATACGGTCGCGAATCAATGATTCCTCCAACATTGTAAATTCACATTTTGTGCTCAGTAGTTTCAACGCAACTACATATTGGCTTATTGTTTCTCCTTCTTCTTGATTGCGCGTGAAAAAATTGTAACGTGCTAGCGTAACATTCCATCTGACTCCAAAATATTCGTCAAATTTTTGAAGTAACGCTTTGACGTCATCACTATCACTTTCACTTTCGAATGTAAATATTTGGTAAACATCAAATCCGCCCGGCCCTATCAAATTAATAAATAAACTCGACTGCACAGTCGATTCCTCCTTGTGCACCCCTGATGCCTTAAGGAATAATGCAAACTGCGTCTTCCATTTTCGCCATGCGTCAGCCCGGCTGACGGGGCTGCCATCCAAACTCAGTTCCGACTGTGGTCTCGCATGTTCTATAATAATATATAAACTGTATTTGATCTTTCACAACCACGAAACACTTTTTTGCACCAAACTAATGCCGAATTACGCAATAATTTAATTTATTCAACCACCGCTGCCACCATGTTGTGTAAATGAAAGACGAACTGGATGACAACTGACTTTTTAATAATATTTTCTAAGAATACCCACAACACATTGCACTTTTCGGGAAATACAGATAAAAGTAGAGCATTCCATTCCTTTGCCGTACGCATCAGAAAGAAGGAAGCAAAGCGCTTTGTGCGAATAGGTGGAAAATCAACGACATAAGAATAGAGTGCTCCAGACCTTCTAGTCGACCGAAGGAGGAACGGTGAGGGTGGGACTAAATTGAAAAGTTCCTACGCACACTCCCCGAAATGTATCCGATAGAACACCGACAAGCAGGCTACTTTTCTGCGATGGTCGAGATTTTGTAGCTTCGACTCCACAGGAGAATTATTGTGTGTGTTGTTTTCTCGAAAAAGTAATTACCCCCAGAATTTTTTAGATTGATAGAAACTAGATGGCGGTCTCTAAATTTTATAGACATCATCACCTTACAACCTGACCAGAAATCATTACAAATTGGATTACGGCGTCCACGATCTCACTCTCTTATTCGTTCAAAATATTTTTTTTACGGAACGCTAAACGAACTTAGTAGTAACAAACACAAGGACTACTGAGTATGTCAGTAAATAATTGGTGAAGCAAACGCGTCGCGCATATTCAGACTTTCATGTGATTTCACAACATGTGGGCGTATGTGTGGTGGTGTATAGGGTTGTTCGTTGTCACAATCGTTCTCCGAAAACTGTTATCCGTCAAACCAAGTAAAGTCAAATTCCACTTCAAGTTCATTTTAGGTTACTTTCTTACGTTTTTGATTGCATTAGTAGTTTGGCCACTAATGTTGTTAAGGCCAAAAGACGTGAAGAACGCAAAGTGAGTATTTTATTGTAAGTAGAAGGACAGGTGGCCCAAAGGTTTAACCAACCGCCTCTCAAGCAGAGGCCGTGAGTTCGAATCCGGGCTCGCATCTCTGAGTTTCTCGGATATTCTGTGGGAAAGTTAATTTAATTTTATATTTACGGAAAGCTTTTCGGTGAAAGAAATGATCGTGACGAAACCTGCACGTCAAAGAAGGGTCACAACCCTCGGAAAACGTGTGAAGTTCACAATTCTTATTGGGCCGGCGTGGCCAGTGGCGGATTTGCCCTAAGGCCCAGACCACTACCGCGTCTGTCTGTCTGTCTGATCGCGATAAACTCAAAAACTACACAACAATGACGGAGCAAAGATAAGACGATCTTGCTTTGCTTATTAACATAGAAGCTGATTTTTTAATGAAATTGGATTGTGAGAATTTAACCAATGACTTTGCTGCGCTTAAGTGCAGACGATTCTTGTAACACGTTGTAAAACACTTATTATATCTACTTTTGTATGAGCATGAATCCATAGTTAAATAAATAAAACCTAAAACCGTTTTAAATGTTTTATTTAAATCTAAAACCTCCGAAAATGTTAAAAACTAGCAGTTATTATAGTTAACTAAATTTCTGAAACGATTTCGATAAAATATAAATGTAAAAGTGGGAATAAAGTAAATTCATTATGTAGTCTACCAGTTTATGATGAGTGCTGAGAAAGGGGCTGCTGGTACTGTCTACTTGGCCTGGGGCCTAGGGCGGTCGAGAATGCTAATCCGCCACTGAACGTGGCAGACTATGGCCTCAGCCCTCACCTGAGCGGAGACCCGTACCCAGCAATGGGACGTATAAATGCGTTGATGATGAGAAAGGACAAGTTCGTAGAATAAAAGTTTGTGGCTTCATACCGTCGACAGGTTAATAAATACCAATGACAATTTTTAAATTACTACTTAAACATACATTTATGACAAGCCAAATACATTCCACTGGTGTAGGTAGGTATATTTACCTGAAATTGGTTATTTATGTAAAATAACCAATTTCAGGTAAATATACCTACCTACTCTACTCTAATATTTAAGTGCTCGTATAATCAGTAGAAATTACATATACTTACTTAATACACTTTCCAGGGCAACTGCGCAGATAGCAAAACATATAACCAAGTTAATTAACGTACGATGGGAGTTGCGGAATGGACAAATTTTGTCCGAAGACAGGGGCGCTATTATAGTGTCCAATCATCAGTACTCACTGGATATCTTGGGTAAGGAAATCATTCAAACCTTTTTCCTATCCACTACACTTAACATTTGTTTTCATTCATTGTCCGCTTCTTTTTACGCCCTCATAAAGTTCTTTTGTATCCCTCCTATTCTTTATCATCTACGTACACTCCCGGCATATACTCGATGACTCCCGGACACATAATTCGTCCTGCATTTTTATTATTAAGGTGAAGTGAAACCCGAAAACGCTTTGACTTATTTTAACCACAAGGAAAATTTGTTTTTCGGACGATAAAAAAAATACGAATTCAACTTTTTTTTTTATTGATAATGAAAAGAGAAGATACGGGTAGTGAACTTGTGGCCCCAAACACGATTGACTAAACTCATTGACGTATCAAACTAAACTCACTCGATAAAAAATCACAAAGTTTCGCAAAATTCTCATTCACTGCGTTCATCTAAAGAAAAATCAGCGTCATTCGATTGTAATTACTGATATTTCAATTAAATTTTCCTTCCTGAATTCCTTTATAAATACCTTAGGGCGCGTTCCCACTATGTCGTCACGGTTTATTATCGTTTGACGACTGTCGTGTCTAGCCTGTTCCCATATCACGACTATTTGTCGTGGACGATTTTTTATCGTTAAACGACTGTCGTGCCTAGCTGTTCCCACTAGATCGTGACGGCAATTTATCGTTTCATAACAGTCTCCTTGTCGTTTGCACGACAGAATCGTTTGATGCGCTGCAGTCGCTTGTATGGTCTTTTGGAAGCGCAACGCCACTGCAAAGCGAGCAGAGGGCGCGGGGTACGAGAGGGGAGGGCAGGGACCAGAATACGTGCGGACAGCGATAAATAAAACGTGACGACAATAGGAGCTGCGACAATCAGTCGTCACGTTTTTATCGTGACGTTTTTTTATCGTCGGACGACTGTCGTTCTAGCTGTTCCCACTGTGACGACAGTTTGTCGTTGTAACAATAAAAAATCGTGAACAACAGTTAATCGTGTCGTGCTGTATATGAACAACTTCATTTAAATATACAAGCCACGACACTGTAAAGTGCACGACAATCTGTCGTCACGACATAGTGGGAACGCGCCCTTAGCGGAATATGCGATCATTTGAAAGTAAGCGAGAACTTTACTTCTATAAAGCATTTAAATGTTTAAACCTCTCCGCGTCTACCTCGCAAAACTTACTCAACCAAGATACCACTTCGCCTCAAAGAGCTAAAATACGAAAATATTGTTCTCATCGAAAAATGTTTTCCCCGGTTTCAAAAATTCAAATTTTCGACAATGAGTTATGGAAATGAGTTTAAGTATCAGTTTCGTATTAGTATCAGCTTAATTTTCGAATCGGTAAAACTGCATAATAGTTTAGTAGTTAGTGGGAACTAGAGCCCTATCGCTTACAAGGGGTATCCAGTTGAATAAAACTAGCGAACTATATTACACTTATTGTATTAAAGAAAAAGTAGGTACTCGCGCGCACAAATCGTTCCGCCGTCGTTCCGAATCGCAGTGCCCAAAGCGCGCGCGGCGAGAATCGCGAATTCCGTATTCGCGTGACCCCCCAACACCCCGCGTGCCCCTTGCAGATGTAATATATGTAAATAATTACATAAACGTAATTATTTTATTTTATTTTATTATTTATATTATTTTATTATTATATGTAATGTAATAATATAATGTAATGTAATGTAATATATATATATATATATATATATATATATATATATATATATATATATATATATTACATAAACGTAATTAATGAAAAAAGATAATGTATTTATCGAGTTCTTAGGTTTTCGCAATTGTTACACATAAAATATGAACTATTATTCCGGATTTAAATCGCGTATATTTGTTTTTTCAAACAAACCGACGAGGTATTTATTGAGGTATTTATTTATATAGGTATATACTTATACATGTTTTCGCATGTAGATGTCTTATAAGGGGATAACAAGTGATGTGAATATTTTGTTCAAATCATCAAGTTTTCTAGGAGATGAAAAATGAAAAAGTTCAAATCAATTTTTTAATTATTCTTATAGCTTCCCCCTCTTTTTGACAATTAAGTATTTTAGTACAAATTCAAACTTATAGAATTATAGCCAATCCGCCCTAAACATACATATGTTCACTCCGTACATCAACGACTTATATACTTAAATCAAGTCATCGTCTTTTATGGTTTACTCATGCATTTTCATATAGCACTTTGACGTTATGCATTAAATGAATATCTTGTTTTAGGTATGTTTAACATTTGGCACGTTGTAGATAAACTAGCGGCAGTTGCTAAAAAGGAAATATTTTACATTGGCCCTATTGGACTAACTGCTTACTTTGCTGGGACGGTGTTCATAGACAGAAAAAACGCGAAAAATGCTTATAAACAACTGAAAATCACCACTGAAGTCATGGTCAGGAAAAAGGTAATGAAGATTCATTTCCTCTACATTCTGATATATGTGTCTGTCATTGTTAAAGTGGTCCATATTTAAAGAATCATATTTTTTTGCTTAATGGTATCACATTTCATCATATCTTTCATTATAAACAAATTATTATACCTTCGATTTGAAATAAACATTGAAAAATTAAACGCACTGAATGCACATGAAAATTAACAACAATTCTCTTGTGGAGTCGAAGCTACAAAATCTCGATCATCGCAGAAAAGTAGCCTGCTTGTCGATTTTCTATCGGATACATTAATAATAATATAATAACGCACACACTCAACATAGCCCCGCACTAGGGAAACCCTGTGTCGCGGGTGCCATGGACACACACATAGACAACCACAAATTACACCCAAACTCACGAGAGAAATAATTGTAGGCCATACAACTATTTCTCCCGGCCCGGGAATCGAACCTGGGACTTCTGCGTGGCAGTCCGGCATGGTATCCGTTCGGCTACGGAGGCATTTCGGGGAGTGTACGCAGGAACTTTTCAATTTAGTTCCACTCTCACCGTTTCTCCTTCGGTCGACTAGAAGGTCCAGAACACTCCATCCTTACGTCGTTGATATACCACCTATTCGCACTAGGCGCTTTGCTTCCTCCTTTCTGATGAGTACGGCAAAGTGATGGAATACTATACGTTTCCCGAAAAGTGCAATTTGGGGCTATTCAAGGCTAGAGTGAATAGGCATTTTTAGGCAGACGCATATCATCGTCGGTCACATCGTCGCTTAACTTCAGGTGAGATTGTGGCCAAGCGTGTGTCTATTATATTTTTTTTAAATTAACACTTGTATTATTTTCCTACTCATTAATTTGCAAAAATATCGTTATTTCAAAATTTAATTGCAAAGAGATAATTCACTTTTACATTGATTGATACATATGGGTAACAGTAATTAGATAAGTAGGTACCTCTAGAGATAAGACATAATTAACTAAACCTAAAGAGTTTATTCTTCCGCTAATTCTAGATATTTATAGCTTCCGTATTTACATGCACAGCAGTTAAACCGTTTGTGCGCAGTGAGTACTTATTTAGCCTACTAATAAAACTGTAAGCGTACAACTTCTGTTTATCTAACCTTATTTAAGTGAGTTAATGCCAACTTACGCCTTCCTAGCGTACGCGAAGTCATAACTGATAGTATACACAGAAACAGCTTTAAATCGGCGGCCCTACCAAATAAACGTGTAAAGGAAACATTGCAAATTTACAGGAGCGATTAAAAACTTAAAAAATAATATTACTCATTGGATATACTTAAATACAATGTATGACCAAATTAAAGGTAACAAAACATTATATCTTATTTTAAAATTTGAAACACAAAAATATTGATAGTTTATGAGAAATAAATAAAAATACCTTTAAATTTTTTTTCTAGTAAAAATTACTTTGGCGGCTGTTTGTTTGTAGTGTTTACACTATTACGAGTTTTCGTGGGAAAAGTTATATTTTCTTTAAAATGTAACATAATAATACTCTGTTTTACTATGAATAATAAGATTTATCAATGCGAATATTATATAGTTACATGGTTATTTGAGAAGTTTAAATTTGCATTACAGTTTTAAAGATTGTTAAAGATTCCCATGAACAATATTACAAAGTTAGTTTGTTATAAACATGCATGAGTAGATAGTGTGCAAAATACATACCTATTTGCAATATTCGTGAGAGATTGTTAAATTTATTTTCCGTAGACTAAACATTGGAGTATCGAATACTTATAAAATTAATTTGAAACCAAATTTGAAAAAAAGATTATGAGGTGTATTTTAAGCGGGAAAATCCAAAAATACAATAAAAAAAAAATAACCGTAAAAGCTTTTACGCGTTTATTCGGTGGGGCCGTCGAAATGAGGTTGCAGTATGGACACGCTATGAACTGCGGAAGCTATCACTAAACAAACGCAACTAAAGCAAATTCATGTTATCTCTCTCAATATTACCAAATTCTGATGTACTTATCTAAACTTTGTTACAGACGAAGTTGTGGCTGTTTCCCGAGGGAACAAGAAACAGGAATAAGACAGGGCTGTTACCTTTCAAGAAAGGAGCTTTCACTGTAGCTTTGAGCGCGCAAGTACCCATCATTCCAGTCGTATTCTCGCCGTACTACTTCATAAATGAACAGAAATCCATTTTTAACGAAGGTGGTAATCTTTCAATCTTTATCCATTACAATCTAATACATTTACGATTCGAGATGTTCGTATAAATAGGATTATTGCGATGAATCCCATTTTAATTGAATGAAAATCTCGCACACATCTCATTCTCCTATAAACTAAAAAATTATATATATAAGATCCAAATAAAAGTAATGAAATATTTCGACTGCCCCAGAGCAGAAACTAGTAAGTGCGTTAGGTAAGATTTTACAGGAGAGCCAAAAAACACAAATCAACGTTGCCTTTTTTGTGTGTGTGTGTTGAGTGTGTGCCTTTGAACAATTTTCCTTTACAACTCAAATATTACATACATATTTTAGTTGATTTTCATTATTGCACAAGAAAATTTAGAATAAAATTTGGTTTCGTTTGAAAATTTAAATTAATAAAACAACTACATAACATTTTCAGTAAAGTTATTACCCCCAAATATACAGGATTATACTTTTTTACCTCGAGTACATTTTTATGTACCCGAAGTGGGTCCCATTTTCTTCCATACACAGATTAGTCTATGGAAATATAATAAGTGTAGCCATCTGCAAAGTGTTGTGGTGGATGCTGATAATAACATTTTGTACCTTTAGCCTTAACTCTTCTACACTCTCCTAAAACTTTATGTACGTATTTTTTTTACATAGCACCATAAAAAATATCCAGAAACTTAAGATCTGGAGATATTGCAGGCCATCTAATTGACTCGTTTGTACCTGTCCAGATATTTAAGTTATTATTACGGTAATATTATTTCGATATATTATTAATGTTATTTCGATTTATAAATACGATAATAGTGGATATTCTGCTATTATGAGACGGAATACATGCCTGATAAAATACGTTATTTCGCTCCTAGTCATGTAGAAGGTTTAATTAAAAAATTATGTCATGTTTTTAATTCTTAAAAATGAACAGTTTAGGTAAGGTTTAATAAAAATACAGCTAACATTCATCTTTTTTTCTAAATGTCCAGTAAATTGTAGGATTTAGAAGTAGTCACTGCAATTTGGTGAGTAATTACTACGTAGCACATATTCTTCCGTGGTAATTACTAAAGGAGTGGGATTCCGTTAAAAAAAAATATTTTCAAAACATTTGTTCCTTACTAGGTTTTGCTCTAGGGCAGCCGATTTATCTTTTTTTTTTTAATTTACGCATTTCGTAAGCTTACTACTCAAATAAATAAGTGTAGTAAATTAGTATAAGTAATTTGGGCTACACCGTAAATTATACACACTTTGTTGAAAATTTTAGTACCTACCTCACCCAAAGGTCTTTACCGTAAAGTGTGTGATTTCTTCGGTTAGAAATACGAGTGCATATAAACAAACATATAAATATACATGATTAGGCATTACTAACTTTCGTACTTTTACAGGTCATATCATAATCAAGTGTCTAAATCCGATTCCAACAACGGGATTAACAATGGATGACCTACCGAAACTCATGAATCGTGTTCACGAATTAATGGATATTGAGTTTAAGAAACTTTCAAAAGAGGTCCTTGATCCTTTACCCCCGGAGTATCCTCTTGCAAGTTTTTTGAGAAAAATGCAATAAAATATTTTATCTACACACATAATCATAAACTCTCTATGTGTTCATATACCTACAGCAAATTACGACCAGCATTACAGATAAACTGTTTTGTTAGAACAAATTACCTATCTGTGAAAATGTTATTATTGCTTCTTAACATCGAATTCGATATTATTATTACATTCAAATTTCGAACATCTCTGATTTTTATTTTTATTTTTATTAAGGCTTTGGCAAAGCCATCAGCCTAAACATGAAGTTTAAATATGTTTCCGGAAATATGGCCGCCACAAAGAGGATAGGCAATTTGAGGCGGCGTGCTTGGATTGACTCGGGATTCCTTAAAACGGGCCGATACGGGTATTTTAGTTCGAGATTCATATAATTTCGCGTTTTAATCTTCGATTAAGGCACAATAGCACTATCCTATTCCACTTTAAACTAGATTTCACAAAATAATTGAAAGTCAAAATAAAAACGACACTTTTCCGTCCAAAAGGTGCAGAGCGAATCCGAACATATCTGAAAAACAAAACAATTTGATTTGACCTCAATTCTAATATCAATCGAGATGAAGTTTTATTCGAAATGAAATGTCAATAGCATACAATTTTGACAATTTCACACGTTACTTAATATCGAACAATATGATAGTTGGGGCCGATTCTATGAATAAAAATAAAAACTACGATTGTGTGACATGCGTGAGAAAAATTTTTATTTGCCGCCATTTAACAATTGTAGCATGCGGTTCCTCAATACATCACAGACAGTTTATAACATGTGTATAGATAAAGCAGTGTATGTAACTGTACATAATTAGGCATTAAAACACTCGTGAGATGTTTTTATGAAATAATATATATAC